AGCTTGAATAGGTAGGGTGATAGGATGCAGCCTTGTCTGACTCCTTTGTTAATTGGGAACCATTCTGTTTCTCCATGTTCTGTTTTGACAGTAGCCTCTTGTCCTGAGTACAGATTCTGCATCAGGACTATGAGAACTCTTTTACTATTTCTATTTCCCCATTGCCTAGGTTGAGTTTATGTAAATTCTCTGGGGTCATTATTTTTGTTTTCTTTATGTTCATCAATAAGCCTGCCTTTGTCATATTATGTCATATTGAGGATGGAGCAAGCTTGTTTTCTGCTGCTCCAGAGACTAGGACCTGGAAAAATGGATGCAAGCTACAGAAAAAGAAATTCCACCTCAACATTAGGAGGAACTTCCTGACAGTAAGGGCTGTTCGACAGTGGACACTTATATCTTGATTCATGACTAAAGGCCCAGGCTATTTTCACATTCATAAGGAATACAGTAGGCATCTCCTTGTCTATGCAGAACATAAGCAAACCTAGTGGATGATTGATCATTATGACAACATGTTCATTATACTTAGTGCCTCATTAATCCAGCATGATGGTTTCTGCATTTGGGATCTCCCTTTGATAAGCCGTTGGGATGCATATGGAACCTGGCCAAGGATCACCTTCCAAAATGGATAGCAATTACCATTCCAGTGTGGGAAAAATGTTTCCTTCCTCCTTTTTCTCTGTGTATAGCAGGCTGCTGCCATGGTCCTAAACTGGCACTGCCAAAGTGTTGTGAGAGGCCAGAAGATAATCAATAGTGGAGGCTCCTTTGGGTGTTAGGTGGGTAAATTCTCCTGGGATATCTCCATCAGTATTGCCATTCAGGATAGCCAGATTGTATTTGTTGATCAAATTTAATAGCAAGGTTCCTGCATGATTAATACCCGTGTCTTTAAAACATCTGGATGAAATAAAATAAAGTTCAGCAACTAATGAAGGAGATTTGTATATATGGGAAAACAAGACCTTATCAGTACCCAAATTTAGGGCAGCTTTCAATGTTGCAGTTTTGGAAGGAAAATACAAGAAGATCCCTTATGAGAACCGGACATGCTTATGCTCTGATACCTTAGTTGAATCACTCCAGCATATTATACTATATTGCCCTTTCTTTCTATCAAGGTGTGCACTCCTCTTTAATTTATCCAATCTTACAAAAATTCCCAGGGCGAACAGCCAATCACTATTTGTCATTACTATTCAAGGATGTAGATCCATAAATAACTGAGAACATGGCCCGATTTTGTGCTGTAGTCATTGCTACATGCAAACAAATTATCAAGGACCATAACTACTCTTAAATGAGGGAAACGAGATGTTAAAAGATCCCTTCCTTTATCTTGGTGTATAATGTTTCCTGTTTACATTCGCATTTGTTTTAATTTGATTTTATTTAGATTTATCAGTTTTGTAATTGTGATTTTATTGGCTAATATTTATATAATTTTATGATATTTTGGTCAAAGACTGTAAATAAATTCTGATTCTGATTCTGGCACTGCCAGGAGGTGGATTATATCTGCTCCTTTTTGATCCGGTCCAAAGGAATGGATCGCGTCACCAGAGCAGTTTCCAGCCACTATGGGAGAATGCATCATCTGAATATCACACCCTCGCAGCAGCCACAAGCAGCTTTATTTGGCCTGTGTGTTTCGGGACTTAAGTCATTGGTTCTATTGCTGAACCACTCTTATCATGATGATGTTCCTTCTAATGTTTCATCGTAATCTAGTCCCCTGTAATTTACCAACCTTTAGACATGGTCCAACCCTCTGGACAGCAGAGACAGTCGGTAAGCACTTAGAAAGGAATGCCATGATCACTAAAAATCAACAAAAACAAGTCATATCAAAGCAATCTTATCTCTCTCTTTAACAGAGTCACAAAACTTGGGTTGCACAAGTGGAGTTGCAAATGAAGTGTCATTGCACCTGTGAATATGCATTTTCAGCTGAAGCATTTCCATCTGCCCCTGCTGAAACTAGGGATAGTACTCTTTTGGTTGTACATTAAATGGTCTATTCAGTTACACAATGGCCACTGAACTAAAGAGCTAGCTGTACAACACAAACACCAGATAACTGCCTATGTAGGGATTTAAGCAACACAACCCAGGCATTCAATATGTATTTGCATGTATGCTATGTACCCAGGATTTCTTTTAAAAGTTCTGACAAACATGGAAATAACACCTGTTTCTTTGGAAGGCCTTACCTGTGCAGCCAGTGAATGTGTGGCAGTGAATGTGTTACAGGGCAACTGGTACCCTTGGGCAGATCCTAGCACTTTGGCAGGACCCATTGGCACTGAAGCCTGCCCTGGATGTCCTTGCAAGGAGAGTAGGGGGGCACTCTAGACTCTGCAGCCCACCATCAGAAACCTTCTCACAATCCACCCAATGCAGCAGCAACACCCCAGGGATTTCTCAGAAATTTTACTCAGCCTTTGCAGACTGCCAGAAATAGTGCAAATTGGATCTGTAGTTTATTATGGCACCAGAGCTCTCTGACAGAGAAGGCTCAATGTCTCAGAATGATTCCCTAGCACTGAGCCAGGGCAGTTAAAGTGGACTCAATTTGCACTATTTCTAGCAGTCTGCAAAGGCCCTCAGTGGCTTCTAGCTACCCATTCCTTCTGTCAGCTAAATTCACAGCTGGAGGCACAGTAGCATAGGATGAGTGTTGCAAGAACTTAAAGCTG